ACTGCTAAATTAGGGACGGCTAGCGCAGATAGCCCTCGTGTAACTTTGCGCGAAATTAAAAAACAACAAAAAACAAAGTGTGATCGGATTTGTACCACATTTCATGGGCACATTAAGATTGAGACTCCTCATCACACTACATAAAATGATCCGGATCGTTAGTCATCCTGGATCTGAGATGGATTTTCTGAGCTTTTGAAGGTGAAATCTTACGTTATCCAATATAAATATATGCAATTTCTAAAAGGAGCGGCGAGGCGAGGGTATGCAATCTCTCTGATTGGTCTTGTTGAATTGAAATTTTATTTTAGATTAAAAATAAAAATAAGTTTAACATAATAACCTAAAACAAAACAAATATGTTGAAATATTGGGTGATATATTTCGGTTTATTGCACGACTATCATATCCTGATATTTAGATTAAATAAGTTTCTTCTTGAAAGGTTGTCAGGTAATCTTTCACATTAGTGTAAGTTGAACCTATGACGTTTACTTATCTTAACGCGATAACGCGTATGTGATTTATCGATATACACATACAGAAATAAATGTAATAATACGTTTAGTCATTCATTTAGCAATATTATCTCCAAATCTTTTGCGAGACTGTTTATAGCGAGTAACCGGAAGTGCTATATTGTGGTTCTTGTATGTTTGTCTGTTTATATAAAAATTCGTTGATTTATTTTAATATTTTTGTACTATAATTTCGACTCATTTAAGATCGTATATCTATATAAGCTTGCTATTCAAATAGGTATCAATATGTATATCAAAACAAATAACAATTTCAAAGGATGGACTTGTTTATTACTTTCGTTGTTAGTATTACTGGTAAAATAATTGGGAAATGACTTTTTAGTACAGTACTTTCTTTAATATTAAATGTTCTACAGGTTTTCGAGTGTTTGTGATGGATAAAAAGCATACGAAACGATGCATTTTATTAACACAAGCTGAGGTACCCGTCTTTTGTCCGGGTTATGAACTTAAAAAATATGTGGGGGTGGATGCTATGATAAGTAACACAAAACTCCTAACTTTCACATAGTTTGTATATAATATAACATATTATCACAGTATTTATTATTACCTCACCAAAAGTTTTGTATAAGCTTTAAAAACTCAATATGTATATACTTAAAACATGGTATACACTGTGCGATGGTCGGTAGGGGTGTTACCCGCTTTCAACACTCACCTCTTAATGTCTTTCCAGAGTGTTTCACGTGATTAATTAATAGACAGTCATTGGCTTCAGATCCGTCTTAAGGGCCGAAGTTGAAAAGTCGCGGGTCAAAGTATGAAGCTGGTATAATTCAAAACGCGGATCTTTATATCGACTTTATGGTGACTGTTGGAGTAAAAACTTCAGCTGAGTTTATGTATTATTGCAATAGTGGCGGCCTTTTTTTTATTGCATTTCTTCATTGAGAATGGTAGTGCACTCTTTGAGATATATAAGACGTTTTTGTGCCCTAACCCCACGCTTTGTGTATGTTGTGTTATAACAAATGTAATGGTTTTTGTGTGTATGTATGTGTAAGGACGTGGCGCCATCTAGGAATGTAGTTAACGTCAAAAATAATAAACGCTCAATAACAGCAATGATTTCCTGTCTGTTTGTCCTTTATTTAACTTCTCCTAGATCACTGGGCCAATCTCAACCAAACTATGTGGGATGGTAGTTTGGAATAATGGGCATGTTTCATTGCCACCCACATTTTGTGCTTTATATATATAAATATTATCTCGATATAACTTCCCAATTTTCAACTTAAGTACAAATAGACTATGGTATCTTTACATCACTTGTATCATGAACCATTTCCTCTCACGAGAATAAACAGTAACCTAAAGTAAATGGGTTAAACGGGGGCACGTATTGTGTTTGTATTTTCATCTTTACCTTCATTAATCAATATATATTATCTTAAGACTTAGCCAGAGGTTAATTTTATTTTTATATTAATAATAATCTTCAAGAAACTTCTATTTGAGGACAGCTATGTAGACAGACTAATATAAAAGATAGATCTGGTTGCTCTGATGTCGAGTGTGTTGAATTCCTAGTTTCGTTATTCATTCTTGCAAGATCTCAAATGTGTAGGGCTGCCATCTAGTGGCTAATATAATTATCGGAAGGGATATTTGTTTCTTTTATTTGCTAATTTCAGCAACAAATAAACCCCATTGTTAAGGTTTTCCTTCACCTTTATACAACAGATATTGAAAGGATGTTTCATGTGTGTTTTTCGAGATTGCTAAATTAAATGTTATACAAATAACAACTTCTTGGAAAAGTCAAAACATTAAACATTTAGTTACAGGATGATTTTAAGCCACTTATGTAACAGTTTTTTATTAAATGAATTTTAAAAAAGTTACTTTCTAAACATGAAATTCAGTTACTGCATAGAAATTATATGGTTAATGTGTTCAATCTTTTGTACATAGCTACTGATTGGTTAATTTTTATTGAATTTGGTTTTACAATGAAATATATTTTTTAAAACTTATTTATGTAAACATGTAATTTTGAAATTTTAAAACCAGTCGTAAGAAGACTCAAATCTACAAGGTTATACACTTCAAGTACGTTTATGCTTTACTCTTAAAATGATAAATCTCTTTAAGTAACACAATTTTTTGTAAGAGACATGAACTAAAAATGCCCATAGAAAATGCATTGAGGTGTAGTTCACACAAAAGCTCAATTAATACAGATCATTTTGTTATGAAATCAAGAATACTAAATGTTACTGAACAACTCTCTGAAGAGTACTAATAAATATGAGGATTATCAGTCTATCTGTCTGTGCTATTTATTAGCAGCAATCAATTTTTAATATTACTAGTTTTATGTTTTCGTGAATTCTATGATTGCTTTTATGCATTACAAAATATTAGCTGGACTTGTGGATACTATGATTGGTTTGTATGCATTCCTAAATATTAGCTTGACCAATTGTTGAGAAAAATTCATAACAACGTGAGAGCTTATCAATGCGGAAGGGATAGTAGTCTACATAGGCTTCGCCTCTACATTGGATCATCGACTAAGGGCAATATAACAAATTCATGCGTTAGTGCCATCTATTGGTGTAAATCAGTAATGGTTAGCTCTGAAGGAAAATCTTAACGTAATGTTGTAGAAGTTCTAAACTTGTTTCGCAACAGTGATATTCTGAACTAAACTTTCAATTTCAAGCTAGCGATAAGCTAGACTAGTTAGTGGTTCAATAAAATGTAAACTGATAAACTTTCTGGCAAATATACATAAATAGGTTTTTATATTTTTTGTCCTTGATGCAAGATGCTGTGTTATAGTGATTTAAAAATAATAAAAAATACTTTCTTTCAGTAATTTAAAAGTTTTTTCTCTTTTTTACAGAAATTATTGTCACTAATCAACGAGAAACCCTTATTATGATTTAAAGTCATTATTATCTCACTAAATTTATATGTCTACACATAGTTAGTAAAATAACTTATTCTTCATTAAACGTAGCCCCCCAAGTGGCACAACGGTATATCTGTGAACTTACGACACTAGAATACCCGTGGTGGGCAGAGCACAAATAGCCCATTGTGTAACTTTGTGCTTAACTTACAACAACAATCATTAGAAGTAAAAAATTATATTTTCAATTTTTTTGAAATTTAGGTCCTAGTGGTTAGAGGTCTCTGTCAGGAAAATCGATTATTCTAATTTTTGTGCGGCTTATTGCTTCAAAACGCACTCCGCATTTTGGGGCCATTGATGTATGAATTATAAGAGTGACAGTTAAATCTCACTATTTGTTCAGAAAAGAGTAGCCCATGAGTTGGCGGTTGGCGCTGTTAACTATTGGCTAGCCCTCTTCTTTTTCAGTTGAAAATTAGAGAAGGCTATGTGCAGATAGCCCTTTGAGTAACTTTGTGCGAAAATTCCGAAAACAATTGAAACAAGCTATCGTAGCAGAAACAGCCACGCCTATATATATAATGATTTCGTCCAATACTTTAAGTAAACTAAAAAAAATATGGAAAAAAATCCAATTATCGAATTAGTTGGTAAATGTGTGGATGATATTTCAGTTAGAGAAATGTACGTTTTTGACAAACTTAAATTAGATTTTTATGGTTGTTTTTTTTTTCATAAGAAACATTTTTTCAGTCAGTCATAAAGAGCTTTACAAATATAAAGATCGAAAATAGAAACATTTGTCGTGTTTCATTTTTATCTCGCTAGATAAAACAAAACGGTAGTTTTATAGTAAAAATGAAAAGAAAACACCAAACTACTATAGTTTTTTTCTGTTTGCATAATTTGCTCTTTATACATAAACTATGCATGCTTTATCCCATAGAAAATCCCCTCAGTATCTCAGTGGTAATCCTGGGAGGGATTAAAAGGCTAAAAATCGGGGTTTGAAACCCGCGGTGGATAGAGCACATAGCCCACTGTGTATCTTTGTGTTAAATAACAAACATACAAAACCTATAGAACAGGTGTACACATTTTCAATCACTAGCTCTGTCTACTTTTGATTCTAGAGCCACGTAATATTTCCAGAAAATTTCAAAATTTTCAATCTCTCTAATCTTTGTCTTACAGAAGAAAAAATAATAGTTGATGCAAATATTTTTTTGTGATATACAAATGGAAAGAGGAAAGTCCAGTGCTCTCACTTTTGCAAAGTTTGGTTGTCAAAAATGTAAAATATGCTTTGAAATGCCTTTTGAAATAATCTGTATTTCGCCATTATTTGCTGCTTAGGGAAGCAACGTCCAAAAGTAAACGCGCCAAGTGCGGTAGAGAACACTAGGCCGAGCACTTAAAACGCGAGCACCTAGAGATCATGGCCTTACAGAATTTACGATGTATACTAATCATGGCGCTAGCAACATGAAGCAGCGAATTCAATATGCTCTGCTTAGCTAAGTGAGTTACCAACTTCATTTTAGTTCTAAGTAAATGCCACATCAGCGGTGAACGAGAAAGAACACTGATTAAAGTAAAATATCCCCCTTACCCTTCATCCGGACACTTTTGTTCATAGAGTTCATTTATCATAGCTTGATCTACTTGATAACGTGTGCAACATTAGCAATATCCTGATCTGCATATTACTTCCCTTTGCGAGTTGCTTTCTCTTTAAAGGTGTAATTAAACAATTATGATTACAGCGCAAGTGTCCTGGGTTGATGTAACACACAAAAATGCATGAAATCCATCCAAAAATGTTTTAGCAAAAGACAAACCCAAATTATGTTTTAGTTCAAATGGTAAGTAATATATGATAAACACGGCAAAATATAGCAACTTGGCATTGTTCACATTGCATCATTATATTCAAATACCATATAACTAAATTTACATTCAATTTAGCTCCTAATTTACCAAAGAATTGTCACTGAGTTACACTGAACAAAATGTGAGGTGGCAGATCAGGGGCTGAGATAAATGCAAGTTCAGTTTTACGATTGTATGTTTGTTTTATGGATTTCGCGAAAAGCTACACGAGGGCTATCTGCGCTAGCCGTCCCTAATTTAGGAGTGTAAGACTAGAGGGAAGGCAGCTAGTCATCACCACCCATCGCCAACCCTTGGGCTACTCTTTTACCAACGGATTGACCGTCACATTATAACGTCCCCACGGCTGAAAGGGCGAACATGTTTGGTGTGGCCCCCAGTGGGACAGCGGTATATCTGCGGATTTACAACGCTAGAAACCGGGTTTAGAAAGCCGTAGTGGGCAGAGCACAGATAGCCCTTGTGTAGCTTTGTGCATAATTATAAACGAACAAACAAACAAACAATGTTTGGTGTGACGGCGATTCGAACCCTCGACCCGCAGATCGCGAGTCGAGCACCCTTACCACCTGGCCATGCCATGAAATGTGAATAACGCCAAATTGTTTTGTTTCGTTTCGTTATGTGTGTGAGATATCATCTACTGTTTGAGCTAAAGCAGGATTTTGACTTTTTTTTTTCTTCTCTGAAGCGTTTTTGAGTGGACATTTATTTTAAATTTAAAAAGGTGAGTCATTGGTTAGATTACTTGTTCAATGCAACACTCTTTCTTTTTCTCAATTCTGAGAAATAGAACATTCTGGAAAGATCAAATTATATAATTATATTTCTTTTCCCACTATCATGTTTAATTGTTTTTTTAAAGTATCCAATAATAAGCAACATCTTAAAATGATTTTGTGTTTGTTTGTAATTAAGCACAAAGCTACACAATGGGCTATCTGTGCTCTGCCCACCACGGGTATCGAAACCCGGATTCTAGCGTTGTAAGTCCGCAGACATACCGCTGTGCCACTGAGGGGCATGATTTTGTGTACCATTTGATTATTTCCACATACATAACAGGAAAAAAAACAATTATTTTCGAAGGACTCCTTTTATTTTCATTTCAAATTATATGTAATATCCATATACACATAAAAATACATATACATCTGTAAAAAATAATGCTACTATTGTTAAATCTTAAGTTCGCTTAGAAAGAGTCAAATTTGAAACACCGACTTCCAGGTCTATTATTAACATTCGAAATTTAAATTGCTCGGATGCTGGCTTGGATACCAGCCCATGTTTCTTCAGCTGTTGGGATGATCTGTTCTTTAGGGAGGAGGAAACCATAACGTCCAGTATCTCGAAGTTCCAGCGCAAAACCAACCTTCACTCCTGCCTTATCGTAAGCCCAATCAAGAGAGGAGCCTGCAGCCTTGTCTAAAGATAATCAATTAATAGTTACAACGTTATTTATTGTAAAAAGTAAGGGAACCAATACTTGGGTTCACTTCCATTTAAAGCTAAATATGTCTTGAAGACCTTTTCTTTGTTCGTAGAAATAGAAGTGAACTTATTTTATGAGTTGAAACAACACGTTGGACTGTTGACCAACGGCTGATTCGTCATATCAAAAGATTTCCCTATTCGCCGCATTATGTGTCCAATATCATAACATTGAAACTATTTTATGTGTGTGAGTTTAAGAGTTTGTTTCATATGCTTCATTTCGCAACTGTTATTTCTTAGTTAACAGAAGAAAACTATGATCACGTTTGAGACACCGTACTTTCCTTGACAATCATGCTCTATGACTGCTTCCCTTAACGATAGTGCTGCAGTGGTGTCTTCATGAGATAAGGCTTATTCGGGGGACAATCATGTTAATTGCATGGAGTTGTTTTAATATTTGTTTAACAAAGTCAAAGCTTGGCATGGTCTATTCTTTCATTGGGGTGTGTCTGTAAGCCAGACTAGTTTCGGAGAATTCCTCTCCTCATCAGTGACCCTGAAGTTCTTCAAATACCTATAGAATGATAGGTTTCTTTTTTGTGAGTGTAAAACACTTAAATATTTAAATGTTTAAACAACTCTATTCAATTATGTACCAGCTGCCTAGTGTCGGCTAACAATACGAAGAATTAAACTGTGGCGGAATGCTACAAATTCTTCAAATACCTATAGAATGATAGGTTTCTTTTTTTGTGAGTGTAAAACACTTAAATACACCATTTCGAATCATGTTAATATTGTCCCACTCCTCTTAAGTGTAATTAAAAGCACTAACATATTTTGTAACAAAGAGGACTTAACACGTATGTTGTCAGACTTCTGTAATTCCAGTTTCGCTCGTGCCCCCCTAATGGCACAGCGGTATGTCTGTGGACTTACAACGTTAAAAACCGGGTTTCGATACCCGTGATGAGCAAAGTACAGTTATCCCATTGTGTAGCTTTGTGCTTAATTACAAACAAACTGTTTGTTTCTTAATTTTTCTCGTGAAAACAGCTGTTGACTTTGAGGCGTGAATGAACGGTTGTAAGCCTTCGTGAACCACTAATCATTGTTTATTATCTTGTTAACAGTATAGTAAGAAATACAACTAACTTTATCACAATGGCCTTTTGTAGAGGAGGAGAAGAGGTCTCTTTGGATGTGTTTTTGAATTCTGTTTTCGTATATTATACGCGAGTTTTGGGTGTGTTTTTACAACTCCCTTTTCAAAATGCTGTATACCCTAGCTCTAAATCATTTAATAATCTTTGAAGGACTACACCTCAAGTCACCAATCACATTTTGAGGGTGTTCTACAGACCTGGTCAGCGCGGTTTGCTTACAAAGCGAGACAAATGTCTATTTATCTGTCATATGATCGCATAGTTCTAGAACTATCCCGATATTCGAAATGAAACTTACATTAATTTTAATTAGTTAAACTTAATTTCCATAATCTGTAGATGATCTAGTTTAATGATTGAAAAATGTAATTGAGAAGTTTATATATAGAACAGAGGAGAGGCAAATTTCGGTTTTGATCATTAAGGTACGAATTATTCAGCCAAGTATCATTAAAACAACCCTTGGCTTGCTAAGACTGTATTTTCTATGTCAAACCATCAGAGGAGAGGCAAATTTCGGTTTTGATCATTAAGGTACGAATTATTCAGCCAAGTATCATTAAAACAACCCTTGGCTAGCTAAGACTGTATTTTCTATGTCAAACCATCAGTAGAAGAACTTAATAAAGAGTCATATAATTTAAAATGTTTCTGCTACAGTAATTTTGTAAACGATGCTTGTTAAGAAGAAGAAA